GCGGACGGGGAAGCTGGTGGTGCTGAGCGAGCAGAACCTCATCGACTGCACCCGAAAGCTGGGCAACCGCGGCTGCTGCGGTGGCCACATGGAACAGGCCTTCCAGTACGTGCGCGACAACGGCGGCCTCAACTCGGAGCGTGTCTACCCCTACGTGGGCACGGTGAGGGACAGCGGGGCACCCGGGGCAGGGCAGAGCAGTGCCGGCGTGTCCCGGCCGTGGTGACACCCTCCCGCTCTCAGGACAACTCCCGCTGCCGATACAACCCCCGGGACAAGGCGGCCAACTGCTCCGGCTTCATGAGGGTGGCACCGGGCAGCGAGGAGGCCCTGGCGCAGGCGGTGGCCACCGTGGGCCCGGTGTCGGTGTCGGTGGATGCCAGCTCCTTTCGCTTCTACAAGTCGGGTACCGTGTGCTCCCCGTGGCGTGGGGGGGTGAATTGAGGCAGGGCTGGGCTGCTGAGCTTCCCCAGGGGAATGGGATCCACCACCCCGAGGAGAAGGGAGCAGGGCCAGCCCCTGGCTCAGCACAGCTCTGCTCTTCCCAGGCCTCTTCGGCTGCGGCTCTGGCAGCTGGAGAACGAACCACGCCATGCTGGCCGTGGGCTACAGCACAACCTGGATGGGTGGGCACAACCTCAGCTACTGGATCCTAAAGAACAGGTGAGGGCTGAGCGCGTCCCCCCAAACCCGCTGCCCCTCCCGCCCCCACACCACAGAATCATGGGGTTATCCAGGTTGGAAAAGCCCTCTAAGATCAACCGCTAACCCTGCTCTGCCAAGGCCAGCACTAACCCGTGGCCCTGGCCCATGGGGCCTCTGGTTCCCCTCCTTGTCTCTCCTCGAGCCAGGGCTGTTCCCTGTGCCCGGGATCAAGGAGGAGCTCACTCCTGTCTTTTCCTGCAGCTGGACAGAGAGGTGGGGAGAGCAGGGCTACATGTTCCTGCTGAAGGATGCCGGCAACCAGTGTGGGGTGGCCAACCAGGCCAGTTACCCCCTGCCCTGAGCCAGGACAGCCCCCCCTCCCCGCCCCAGCTGAGCTTCCACGGCTGTTTCCTTCTGGAAATGGGGCTTTTCTTCGTGTGCGGCAAGAAGCAATTAAAAGTGGCATGGTTAATTGTCCTTGTCATGGAATCCATGTGGAATGGTTTGGGTTGGAAGGGACCGTAATGCTCATCTTGTCCCCCTGTCCCCATG